CACAGGTTATTTGTACCTGCCAGTTCAGCTGATCGAGAGTGTGCGCGCGCATAAATTTCTGCCCCAGTGCCTGCAACAGGGGTGCACTTCCTTATTCAGTTGGGAGGGGGGGGGGACTTCAGCCTCGCCCCAAATTTGGAAAGGAAGTGGGCAAAATCCGGGGGAAAACTTGAATTGGCATATTTCGTGGGCACGTTGTGGCATTTTTCGCTGCTCAGTACCCCCCCCCCCCCAAAAAAAAAACAACTGATTTTGCGAAACTTCGCCTCTGGTCAGCTGCATTCGAAGAAATCACACACCAATGACAAAGCGCAACTTTATCTCGCGGGCCAATTCCGCGTCCGCTCCACATCGTTTGCGCCTGCAGGACACATCGACACCACTGCCGCCACGCTGTTCCCTGACTGGCCATGCCCCCTCCCCCTCGGCGAGGCCACCTTCCCCGGGGAAATCCCGCCGAGCCCTGGGCTCACTGCCTCGTTTTCCGAGCGCGCGCCGGCCGCCGCGGCCGCCGGCGCGCCACCGCGGTGGCGCGCCGGGCCCGGCGCGCGGGTCACCCGGCCGGCAGCTGGCGGCCGCGCCGCTCCAGCGGCGCCGCGCGCGGAGAAAGTGTTCCGAGAAGCGGCTGTGCGTGCGGCGGCGGGCCGCGCGCCGTCGTGACGTCACACGTGGCCAGGTGACAACTGCGCAGTACAGCCGGCCGAGGCCGACGCCCGCGCGGCGGTGAGCACGGCCGCCCGGCCGCTGCGCAGCGCGGCTGGCCCGCGCTAGCGGAGGCCGCCGACGGCGGCTGGCCGCCCGGCGGCGCTTGCTGCGAGCCGCGACGAGGCGCTGGCAGAGAAGACATGCGACCTCAATCAGCTGCAGAACTGGGTCTGCCATTAAAGTTTCCGATTTTAATTTTCTGGACATGAGGGAGGGGTCTAATTGCAAAAGACAGCTGTGTAATGACAGTTGCTCAAGTACAAGCCTGCCTCCATACCCATGTTAGCCCAATAAGTCGCCCGCCACCGCCGCCAGTCACAGGGGCAGCGGGGCAGGGGCAGCCAACACTTTCCGAAATTATTTTAGCGTTAAAAAACTCCCGATAAAGAACTTAAGTGGATTACGATGCCTTCATATAATTAATTTAAAAATATAAGTAACGTGCATTCAAGCCTGCGAGGTATGGTAAGCGGATCTGACCTAAATTCTGAGTATATTGCGTACAAATTTTCGGTATCGTCTTACCTCTGCAGTACTATTTTTGCCAAGGTGTTCTGTGTGAAGTAATTCTGTGCGATGTTGGCTTTCACCCGAAACCTACGGCAGGGTAATGACATAGTGACATATGGCAGCACCTGCGCAAATACGGTCACCGCAAAGTCGGCTGACACAACAATGTATTGATGTTGGCGGCGAGTTTCACACGTGATTCCGTTTCTGTTGTCATGTTCTCTTTCCTTCCGCTGTGCACCGCCTGTCGCGTGATTATCGAGAAATAACAATGAACGAATGAAATGAGAATGAAGAGCTGTCTTGCCCACTCGCGTGGCTCAGGCTCGAGAACATTCTCCGATGTACTCGGTCACGTCATGGAACGAGCCACCCACGTACAAGGCGTTAACAGAAGCGGCAATCTTTCTGCTTTTCTACATCTGTTAGGAATGAAAAGATGCACCCCTGCAATAATAATTTCGCCCTGTTGTAGACACAACAACATTAGGGAGTCTCTCTGAACTGTCCACTCCAGGAAGAAGCCAACAGTTTATTTTTTTAATTGAGAAGCAGGGCCCATATCCATAAGGTATGGGAGCGAGAAGGCTCAAAAGGTACAGTTCTCAATACAGACAGGTACCGATTACCGTTACTCATGTTACCTAGCGTTGTCATGCCGTCAAACGATTTTTTATTTCTAATGTCAACACCAGCTCGTAAAAGTGCGACTTTACGAATAAACTGAAAGATGCTGCCACACGCCCGAAACAAACACTGCGCAAAACCAAGAAGCATTGGTAGACAGAATGGAAAAACGCGAAGATGCGTGATACATGCTGGTATTTTCACGTCGCTCGGAAGCGTGCATCATCATCTGGGCACATAAGACGTAGACATTCCGTTTAGATGGTGATTAACTAGTTCGCTTCAGGGAGGAGCCAAACTGCACATCTGGTGTGGAGGGGGGGGGGGGACAAACCTTGAGATGCCGTGGCCGGCGAAGTTACAGCATCTCCCATTGAAGCACAAGATATCTCTGCTTTCTTCCGTTCGTTCGACGTATTCCTGCCGTTACGCTGCAATATTACCGCGAATTCATCGCTTTTACATAAACCTACGAGTGGCTTGGTGTCACTCGATCTCCCACCGACGTCCGCTACACCCCTCAACCCCTCCCCCACCGCTACCGTGTACCCGCGTTGCGCAGTATTTCATGTCATGACGATACCGCGCAGACGGCGGGGAGAGACAAGTGCAAAAGTGCTGGAATTACCATTACTCTGCATTCGTTGGTGTTGAAACACCACTTCCTGGCATCAAGTACCCCTCGCTCCATTCGCCACAGCGCTGGAACACTGCCATGGAAAAACCAATCCCTTCAAGTGACCTTAACATCACTCCGTCAGTCGGGGCGGTTCGAGCGCAGCGCGAGCTGGGCCAGCGTCCGCATTGGTCGGCGCCACAACACGTCAACACAACGGGCTGCACCGCGGCCAGTTCCGACTAACGCATTCCCTTCCTGCCATCCGGGCAAAAACCGCCGCCGAAGCCGCGCGCCGCGCTCAGCCAAATCATCCGGCATTTGGCGCGCCCCTGTTGGTCCATCACTCTCCCGGGCGCGCATGCACGCTCTGCCTCTCCAACTGTCGCCTTCTCACACGACGTCTCCTTTCCCACGGCGTGCTGTGATTCTACGTCCTTTCAGGCGCGGCTCTGTTGAGAAATCCGAACCGTGACGAGGCAGGCGCAAGAGCAGCCGATGCCGCACTCAGACAGGCGATGACCCAGATGGCAGACGAAGAGTGCGGGAGGATGCCCCATCGCAGCAGCCTGACGGGAGAGACGGCGGGAGGATGTCCCATCGCAGCAGCCTGACGGGAGAGAGGCGGGAGGATGTCCCATGGCAGCAGCCTGACGAGAAAGAGTGCGGGAGGATGTCCCATAGAAGCAGACTGGTTCGGAGAGAGTGCAGGAGGATGCCCAATCGCAGCAGCCTGACGGGAGAGAGTGCGGGAGGACGCTCCGTCGTGCCGCCACTGGTCGCACCGCCCGTCGCGTTTTTTTCTTCTTCTTTTTTTTTGGTCACGTCGGGCTACGGTGACGGGGAGAGGCGGCCGAAGTCGGCTGGGCGGGCGTTAGCGTCATGACGCCGCGAAAGCGTGGACGAACGCTCCAGAGCTGTCGGGATCAGGCGGCGGCGACGCGCCGGCGCCCGTCGGGACCAGACACGACCTCGGGCACCAGCGGAGTGGTTCGGGCTCGACACGCCACGGTCCCGTGTCGAGACCATGACGTGTCGGGACCGATGGTGGGGTCCGGAACCGACAGGCCACGATCCCGGGACAGACGGTGGGGCCCGGACCCGACAGGTCACGGTCCCGGAACCGACGGTGGGGTCCAGATTCGACAGGTTACGGACACGTGCGGGATCTGAGAAAGCAGCCGCAAGCGACTCCTAATTCGTCGCCATTGGAACGCGTGGGCGCGCCAAAGGAGGATTATAGCTGCCCCGTCCCATCTGAGCATGGGAGACACACATCATCCTCTCTCATGTCAACCCCCATCCCCTTTGTGTCACGTTAATGTACGACAAGTCATGCCACCAGCGAAGATGCGTCTGGATTTCCCCGCCCTCCTCGTCTGCGGTCGGCCGCTGACGTCACCGACAGCTACAATGACGTCATAGCGGGCCCGGCCGAAGCGGCCTCCGTCTGCGACCATGGCTGAGGTGCCCGCAGCCGTCCCAGGTCACCGGCAGGGCCCCAGGTCCCGGAGAGGACCACAGGCGCCGCGGCGCGACCGCGAGCTGCCGCCCGGAGGCCGCTGACCGCGCGGGCCTGGGGCGCGCCGCCACGGGGGCGGTGGCCGCGTTGCGTCAGCTAGCAGCAGCTCCTGGAACCGACTCCAGTTACCGCTAGCTCGCTGATGTAACGTCAGGCCATGCCGCGCGTTGCTGGCGAGCGTCGCCTCGGGCGACCGGCAGAGGACAGACAGAAACTCAGGAGGACGAAAAGCGGCTGCGACAGGCGGACTGTCCCCGAAGCGGTCGTGGGAGGAACACTGGCTTCGAAATGGCTGGGGGGAGGGAGGAGTCTGGCCTCGAAGAGAGCGCCCGGCGCGGCCAGTTACAGAGTAAAAAGAGGTATGAGGTTGATGAGAAGAAATGAAGGCAATTGAAACAGCTATAGAGGGCGAGGAGAGTAAGGTCAATGGCTTGCTGTTTGATTTCCGATGCAGCGGAATGTAGGAGAAGCTGTCGAATGCTTGACATTTTAAAATCATAGAAATATCAAATTTGTGCACATATATCACTTGGGCACACAATTATTGACACGAAAATTCGCTTCTGCTAACTGTAGTGAAAATAGGTGCAGTCATCTTGCCCTGCCGTTCAGTTACTGAAAAATTGATAGCACCGGTAGCCGGAATGCGGACGTCACTAATGACGTCAATCGGCGCTGACCAACTAACCGCCGCCGCACCAGTCCCATTTTTAGGCGGTAAAACGCCTGCTACCGGCACGTCTGGAAAACACCCGCAAAAAAGCAAAGAGAAGGAAGCGGTAATGTTCGAAGAGACAACGGTTAAAAAGGGCGCGCGAAAAGACAGATGAGGTGTGTGTGTGTGTGTGTGTGTGTGTTTGTGTGTGAGATTGGGGCTTTTACGACGCACTCAGCTGCTGAGGCTATATGGCGTCGCCTGCCTCTCACCCTGGCATGAAGGGCGGGCACCGCGGGGAATCGAACCCCGTACCTCTGGTTTCCCAGACGCGCAGCAGCCAACGCAGACGCGCTAACCACTACACTACCGGCACCGGAGATGCGAGAAAGGCGCGTGTTGTCGCGGGATAACACCACAGTCGTGGCAGCGATGTGGAGGATCTGCGCCCGCTGCACCGATCGCCGATGGCTCCCATGACACACCGCACACAGCACACCGCACACCGCACACCGCACACAGGGGGCCGAGCGGGCGCGCGGCGCGTGCCTTACCGCCTCATCGTCGCTGCCATTGGCGTCCAGGCTATTGCAGCTGTCGGCGAGGTGGTTGTAGCCGTGCTCCCACGTTCTGCCTAGGCAGGCGGTCATTGTGTCGTGGCCGGCCTCCCCTGCGGACACGGACACGCCGCTCGCGTCAGCACGCGGCAGCCAATTAAATCACCGCAGCCAATCCAATCACTGCACCCAATCTGATCACTGCATCCAATGCGCTCACTGCACCCAATCCGATCACTGCACCCAACCCGATCACTGCACCCAAACCGATCACTGCATACAATCTCATCACTGCAGCCGATCCGCTAACTGCACCCAATGCAATTACTGCAGCCAATCCGATAACTGCACCCAATGCAATTTCTGCAGCCAGTCCCGACAACGAACGGTTTCCCAGAAGAAGCACGGAGAACGTTCATACCTATTTGGATAGCGCAAATAATTTTTCATCTTCTCTCTAACGTACTCTGGGATGGGTTTCCGGCACGCAGTGCTGGCTCACAAAACAGTAGAGCGAGGGTCAGAGCACGCATTCGATGCAGTGGGGTGTACGGTGCTTGGTTACCAACCGTGTGAGGCTATTTGGCGCCGCTGTAAAATTGGTGCTCAGTGTTGCAGGCATTTAGTGCGGCAAACGTGATGCGGGTTGGTATCTCAGATTTCATTGTTCGTTATGCTGCCCCATATGGATGGAGTTTCCAATTCATTTGGTGAAGCTCCTCCAAACTTTGAGGGAAAGGGAGCCAAATCCGGGGGCAGACCGATTTTTGACGTATTTTGGGGCAGCCATAGTACTTTTCTCCATTCAACCCTCCTAACAAATTTTGCGAAACTGACAGCCTATTTTTTGTGATCTTCTTACAATAGTTGTCACGTGATGTCCCATGCTAAATGTATATCGTCCCCAATTTAGGCGCCAGTTCCCCCACATCACTATCGTGCCGTGTGCGCCATCATGTACTTTGGCGCGTTCCGTTGGTCTCCGGTGGTGCAGTTCAAATACAGACGCCAACTGTGGGACGTCGTGTGTGTGATCCGGAACTGGGAAGGCGCGAACGAACAGATAACAAAACAATAGTTGCATCGGACTGGATCATAGGGCGGATCATGACGTCACGTTGCTATCTTTCAGAAGTAACGGACTCGTTTGAATTTAATGGGAGTAAAAATGAGATAAAATTTAGCTAAACCAAAGTAGAGAGAACAAGTTGCGTTCAACATCGAAAAAATGAAAAAAAAATCACTGAAGTTCATGCCTTAGCAGCAATCTGGGCACGCGCTGCCAAAAATGACACGTGGCGCTGAGCCACAGAGGCCAAACACTACAGCTTCTCTTGTTCCACCTCTCGCCCCCCCCCCCCCCCCCCCCCCCCCCCGCCTCTAACCGCTCACTGGCCCGACAAGGGACCAATTTGACGCCATCAATGCTCTGCCGTCAATAATGACATGCGCGTCTACTTCTTACGAACATATCAATCTTCAAAAAGGATTGGGGCGTGTCTTTGCGGGCAGGCCCGATTCGTTCCACCGACACTACCACGCAGAAAAACGAATCTCTCAAGAACAAACCATAATTGGATGCTGGATTTATATCTGTGGTCGACGGGTCCGTTTCGCGGCCAACATAGTTCACTGACCTCTCAGTGCATGTGTTACCAACGCGTTCTCCGAGGATAAGGTATGTAAAAAAGGTATTCCCTAAAGGTATCCCATAAAGGATGGTATCCCGTACAGATACTGGGGAGGCTGCGCGGCATGGGCGTCAAACGGCAAGGCACGATACACTGACGTTTCTGAGATTTTGGTTGCAACCTCCACCACCCAACACAGACGGAGGACTGCCTCATCACCACTAATGTAAATACCTCACTCGCATGCGATGTCCGGTATAATTGCAAATCTTGGCATAAAACATCGCCATGAGTGCGGTGGAGAAGAACTTCCACTTAATGCCCGCGCCCGGGCACACGCCATGTCCGCACCCGAACACAGAGTTGAGAGCCGCACCAGTGGTGCCTTGAGGCCCTGCTGCCGCGGGCCGGCGGAGGCGGGCAGCGCCCGTGGGCTCGTCAGTGGTGCCGCGGGCCGGCGGAACGGAGCGGCGCCGGTGGGCTCGTTACGTCAGCGTCTCCCGACACAAAAACAGCGCGACCAAGACAAATGAGCCGCTGTCGATGCCGGCACCGGCTGACACGCAGCCGAAGCACGCCGGCAGGGAAGCGTGCGTCGGCGGTGGGCGGCGCCGTGTTGGTGCGGTTTTACGGGTCCACCCGGTCAGGAGCTGACGCAGCCAGCGCTACGGACGCGTCGCCAGCAGAGGCGAAACCACTGTAGTGAGACCAGTTTACAGTACTGATGTACGGCGTCGCTGTTTTACAGCAGTGGGTAAACCCTGGAGTGTTTAAAACGCAGTGCGAATCGAGGCATCACGGCGGTCCGAAGTCCCCCCGGGAATCCCGCTGCGAGGATCTGGAACGCTCTTCATCAAGGGCTGCCAAGAAGTTTGCTCGGTTCAGCCAGTGTTTGCAGCTCACGGCGGGAGCGGGATCTAACCGTGCGTTCCGGTACAGCCGATTTGCTGACAAATGAGACTGACGTCACTCTCAGCGTCGCACGTCTCGGCGTCTCACCATCTCAGCGTCGCACGTCTCAGTGTGGCACGTCTCAGCGTCGCATCAGCGCTTAAGTGCGTGGCCGGAAAAATACGCAGCTGGAGAGAATCGAACCCGGCATCCGCCAATCGCGAGCGTTGCAGTCTCACGTTCATGTGGTTCAGGTTTGGGAATTCAGGGATTTAGGCCTCGGAGGCCACGCCGCTGACTAACGCGGGCGCCAGCAGTCGCCAGACATCACAGACGCATTAGGCTGAGAAACGACACAGAAAGTTGGAGAAGCCGCGATCGATTTCCGCTACCGGCCAACCGCGACAGCCGCCGCTCTCAGAAACCGTGCGTCATTTCGGCATCCATCGCAGGCGGCTAGGAATCCGAGATGGTGGTAGCAGGCAGCCAGTGACGGCAGAAATCAGGAGTTTTGCGTCCTAGCGCGAGAGAGCTCGGTACCCCGGCTCCAAACCAGCTGCGCCCCCCCCCCCCCCTCCCCCTCCCCAGGAGCGGTAGACATCCCGCCTCATCAGTCGGTGGCGGGCGCCCGGCGGCCCCCGGCGAGCCCCCGGCAGGCCCCGGCAGGCTCCGCCCATCATTGCGTAACGGTGCCGCGCCCTGGTCCGAGGGGACCGCTTCTGAGAAGCGCGCGCAGCCCCCCCCCCCCCCCATGTGGATGAAACGCCGACACCGCCGCCGACGGGCGGACGGGGCGGTCCGGCGGCGGCCCCATTCCGGGCGGCGGGGGCATGGGAAGCGAACAGGGTCACGGGCACCGGGCCCAGCCGCTGCGAGAGGCTCGGCCTCAGGAACAGTGGAATCGGCCGACGGCGGATTTAGGCCTTGAAATACGGCGGCTCAGGTCTGTTGGTGCTGGCAAACAGTTGGTTGTCTGTTGACCAACCAGGACAACAAATGGCCTATGTGGACAAAATGGGACATCAATTTCGGGAAAATCTGCAAAAAAAGCGTGCAAGCACAGAGTTCAGCCATAATGCTGTTCCATGGAACTAAACCAGCCCGTTTTCACAGAGTAATCGGGTGCCAGAACTGATGCCGGACGCATCTCATCACACCCCTGAACGCGTCCGTCGGTGGCCTCCATTCAGCGTGTAATTTGCGTCCCCCCCCCTCGCCCGCTCGCCGAGCGCCCCCTGGCGCCAGCACCGCGCGGACAGCCGGTGGCAGATCTCAGAGCGCCGCCCACCGAGCGAGGTCGTAAAGCGGGCCGGCCTGGCTCCGATCTACGATCTCGTCACCACACGAGCCGGCAGCGACACCAGAGCGGGCTGCCATGGGCGGGCTCGGTTCGCCGGGGTCCGCTGGCGTTCGCTGGGTCCGTCGCGGCCGGCTGGGTGGTCACGGTCGCATTCGACACCGGTGTACCCCGTGACGCATCACTGGCGCCGAGCCGGCCGCTGCCATCCTGCGAACGCCCGCCACTGCCATCCTGCCAGTGCCGCCGCCGGGCCAGCCTGTGCCATCCTACGAACGCCGCTGTCGAGCTGCACGTTCTGCATTCCACTCTTACGGTAACGTTCACGAGCTTAACTGTTCAGCTCAGGGCCAGCGCTGGCCAAAGCGATCTGGGCATTCGGCAGCGGGCTTTGGAAAGCCACCAGCAAGTAGGGCAGGAAACAGCTTACCAGCTGCAATACTGTCATCGGCAACATCGTCTTTCGTTCCATCGCTACCCTGTCCAAGTGATCACTGGTCCCTGTCCTAGTGACTATCGGGCCCTGTCCTAAAGGCTACCAGATCCCGCCCTGAGGACCACCGGACCCTGCCCTTGCGACCACCACCGCACTGCGTCTCCTGTGACTGCGCTGTGCGGTGGCTGATGGCTGCTGTGCGATGGCTGATGGCTGCTGTGCGGCCACTGACGGCTGCTGTGCGGTGGTTGATGGCTGCTGTGCGATGGCTGATGGCTGCTGTGCGGTGGATGATGGCTGCTGTGTGATGGCTGATGGCCGCTGTGCGATGGCTGATGGCTGCTGTGCGGTGGCTGATGGCGGCTGTGCGGTGGCTGACCGTGGCGCGGCGGTGCGGACCGGCCGCTGCAGGGTGCAGTCGGCGTCGTCGCCCGTCACCAGCCCCTGGCCCGAGCCCGCGCTCGAGGCCCGCCGGGGACCCAGCCTCGGGTCCGGGGATCCGCATGGGCCGCGACGGCGGCGGCGCACCCTGGCTTCCGCGGGCCCTCAGATGCCGGCGCGACGGCACATCAGATACGGCCGGCACCATCAGATATGCATGCAGCAGCGGTGGACCGCGGCCCCGTACGCAGCGTAGGCGTCCTCGCAAAGACGCATGATATAACGTTATGGCGAGGGAGTTCGCCGACGGCGCTGCAGTGGCCCAGACCATACAATCAATCAGTGACGCCTCACGTGCCGTACAACTAGCCGCCTTTCGCGTCAGGTACACGCAGTGTGGGAGAAAACGAAGATAACCGGCAACGACAGCCGGACCCGGGACGGATCAGCAGAGCTTATCGCAGCGCTCGACCCCAC